GTTCAATCCCCCAGCACCACATGCCAGCCAGCCCCGCCCCCTGGTGGGCTGAGCTGGCCACACACACACACACAAATAAATAAATAAAATTTTTTAAAAAAAGTAAAAAAAAAAAAGAATACAGGAGTGCAGATTATCACCTTAGCTCCATTTTTACACACAACATGGCATAATGCTCACTCTGCCTCTCTCTTTCTCTCTCTCTCTTTCTTTCTCTCTCTCCCCCCCACTCTACACACACACACACACACACACACACACACACACACACACACTGCTCTGAATACTGGAATTTTTAACCTAGCAGTATAACCTGGGGACTTTTTCACATCAGTACCTAAGCAGCTCTCTCACATAAGCTCATGCTTTTCTCAGGCATATAGTGCTCTGTTTTGTACATGAACTGTAAGACACTTAACAGAACCCACACTTGAGAAACGTATTTTCAGCCTTTTCATAAAAACAAGGTTGCAATGAATATAACCTTGACAGTATCTCCCTCAGCACTCAGGTAGATTCATTTCTGAGATAAATTCCCAGAAGTGGGACAACTGGGTCAGAATATAATTAGATTTAAATGTGTAATTTTGACAAAAAAAATTTTTGTATTTGTGCTACTTTATACTTACGTGAGCAATGCCTAAGAATCCTATATCTCCACAGTGTCAACAACTAAGTAAGTTTCCTAATGTGACGTTGATTAAGGCTGCCCATTTGATAGGTGAGAAGTAGTATATTAGTAATTTTAATTGTTTGCCAGTACCAGAGATTGAACCCTGGGCTTTGTGCAGCTACCGCTGAGCAAGTCCTGTACCACTGGGCTACATCCTCTGCCCTTATTAAATTTTATCTTGAGACAGAGTCTCACTAAGTTGCACAGGGCAGCTTTGAACTTGTGGTCTTCCTGCTTCCACCTCTGGAGGAGTCACTGGGATTATAAATATGTGCCACTGTCCTGGTTAATAATCTTAATCTTAAACTTCTCCCGTTCTGAGACAAGTTAAACATCTTTTTTAACATGTGCAGGCCAATTGCACTTTCTCCTGCATTAACTGTCCAGTTTCATCTATTGATCATATTTATATTGATTATTGGACTTTTTCCTTCTCAATTTTTATAGGCTTTACATAATAGCAGCCAATAAGAGTATCTTCTTCTTACATGAGCAAGAGTTACCTGTGTAGGCATCATAAATATTTATTAGTTTATTATTTGGTATTTGATATAGTATGTGGTGATTTGCTTATCTTCATTCATTTTAATTTTGGAGGTCATAGAAATCCACATCCGTTAAATTCATTTTACTTTATGGTTTCTGGGCTTTGAGGCATAGTATAGAAGATCTTTCATCCTAAGTGTATGAAAGGATCCTAGTTGCATATTCTTTAGCCACAAACAAGTAAATTATTTTAGTCCACATTTTATCTCTAGAGTGTGAATTAGTTCCTTAACTGCAACACCCTTTTTAAAAATTTCCGGGCAGATAATCAATCAAGCTAATAAATTAAGATGCGTACTTCTAAGTAAGAGTGCGTGCAATCAGGGAACATTTTCTTCCAGCTCTTTAATCCTTATTTTGGGGATCTGGCACACGGGTGAGAAAATTCATATACTAATCATGGCTGTTTGTTCTAGACAAGTGACTCCGATGCCACCAGCCCCACAGGATCGCAGCCAAGTGACAGGCATCAGCACGACAGTGGCAAAGCCCCCACAGAAAAGCCGGGAGACTGGAAGGTGCAGTCTCGCAAAAGGACCCAAACACTCCCGAACCGGAAATGTTTCTTGACATCAGCTTTTCCAAGTAGCAACAGCAACAAAGTAGAGATCTTTAAGAATGAGTTTTGGTCACCTTCAACAGAGGCTAAGGCGGGGGAAGGGCACAGAAGAACCATGTCTCAAGACTTGGGCCATCTTTCCGACCCCCAGCGGACTTCAACCTATGACAATGTCCCCTCCCAGCCAGGGCCCCGTGAGCCTGAAGGGGGCACACTTTCTTCCCCTACCTCTGACTGCAAGAAAGACGCTCTCGCCAGCCCAGACTCTCAAACGGGGCCTCAAGGAAAGAACTCTGTGGAAGAGGAGCTTGATTCTTTGCAGAAGATGGTCCAGGACCTACGGGAGCAAATAGAAACACAGAAGAAAACATATGAAGAACAGATTAAAAAGTAAGTTACATACAGAGAACCACTGGGAAGCACCAGGCTTCCATCTTTAGAAGCCATCTGGATTGTTCTCACCTGCTGAAAAGGTCACATTATAAATTTTCCATATAGGAAAAGTGGGAATATAGCTGCTGAGTCTAAAGGGAAAAGGGTGCATGTGATGAATTAAGATGACTAAGTTAGTGAAAACCCTGCACTTTGAGTTAGAGAAACTTAAATACCTCATTTAAGTAGTAAATTAACAGTTTCCTACAGTGGTTCTTCACGGATCACCACACTTTACTGAACTGAGAGAAAATGTTTCGCATTAATGTCATTCCTCAATTTCTGCAAATCCTTTTTGAGTATCAGCTTCACACCAGACACTGTCCCAGGTGGTGGGGAACAGCACTGAGCAAGACAGCACCCTAAGCACTGTGCTATGAGGGTACTGTCTTCTAGTGGGGGCAACAGAGAGTACAACTATGTGATAATACATGGTACATCAAGTGGTGGGAAAGGCTATGGGGAAAAGAAGCAGGGCAAGAGGTTGGAGAGTACGAAAATGTATTCAAAGTGTTACATAGGGTGTTTAGGGAGAGTCTCGCCAAGAGGTGGCAGAGGAATTTAATTCATGGCTGCTGAAAAGCGGAGCATGGAAATATGCCAGAGAAGAGAGAGGCAGGGACCACATAGAGTACCCGAAGTCACACCTATATGATCCACCCAGACACACCCAGAGTGTGCTTTATCAATCTCCTGAGCAGCACTGAAGACAATCAAGTTGACCGTCCAGGTTAACCGCCACACTTCAGCATGCATGTCATTAGTATGGTAGCATCAACATCAAACCAGCTGCCACAGTAGTGGCTGATCCTCTGAATAAAGCAGAGTCCTGTGAATCCACCTATCAGGGCATTCCCACCTCAGCAGAGAGGGAACGATGAACTGCCGGCAATAGCTGCTAAAGCTTTGTGCTTCAGAGAGGTCTTACGGGACCTCTACGGTAGTATTGTGGAACAGGAGAAGTAGGAGCTCAGGATGTAGGAACGTATGCCGGAGGTTCACGTGACTGATGGGCACTGGACTGGGATTTGAAAGCCAGGCTCCTGAGCCTACTCAGAGTCTACCTCTGCCCTGGAGCAAGTGGTCAAGATCTAGTAATGTAATAAAAGGGTCAGAATGAATGAGACCCATGTTTCTGTGTGACAGTAACAGCAGGGTAGGCAGGACTCTGAAAGACTGTTGTGCGCAGAATGGGGCAAGGCCTTTGAAACCAGAAACCAAGGTACAGGTTCTGATGGGAGCTCAGGTTTCCACAGGAATAGAGGCAGGCTTTTACGAGCTGGAAGGCACTACCCCTCCAGGTGAGATTCTGAGTCACTTCAAATCACACCGTCTGAGCTTTACATCCATCCTCAGGTTCAGATTTCCTTTCTTTGTCTTAAAAATGGAATACATACACCCATTCCTGAGGGTTAATTCAACATAGTCCAAAAAGAGGCACCTGAGACTGTATTACGATTTGGTCAGTTACAGTGAAAAGCCTGGGAAGCCAGAAAACCTACAGATCTCTGGCTTGGAGCTGACAGAACATCAGACTGGAAGTTCCCCTTGCTCCTCCAAACATTGATCCCAAGAAGGACTTTCATAAAGAAAGGTCCTGATTCATGGTTTCATTGATGTAGGAGGAGGATGTGACATAGGTACAGAAATGTTGGGCGGATGGAATATGGCCCCGGCCTCCATAGCTTTATTGAGCAAGATGGATACAAGGGGCCATAGAGCAGAAGCATCCATCATTAGGGAAGACTCTTCAAAGATTTTACTATCTGGCAGAGGACACAAAACCTAAAAAAGTTATGAAAAAAATCATAAGGGATGCCACGAGATGTTACTTTATTGAATGACAAAGAAAGGGCTCAGTTATACTCTGGGTATTCAAGTTTCTGGGAAGCACCCACACCCCTCATGGGGGGAGAAACATAAATGGGAGGAGGGGCATAAATGGAGGCACAAGTTAGACTGCACACCTGGATTTTGGAAAGGAAAAGGAACAGGGAGGTTGTGAGCAAGCAGGAAGGAGTGTGAAGGAAGAATCTAAACTTAATACCCTATACTTTCATTCTCTCCTTTCTTGCAGTCTTGAGAAGGAAAATTACGATGTCTGGGCTAAAGTGGTCAGACTCAATGAAGAGCTAGAGAAGGAAAAGAAGAAGTTTGCTGCTCTGGAAATCAGCCTTCGCAATGTGGAGCGCTCCAGGGAGGATGTGGAGAAGAGGAACAAGGTTTTGGAAGAAGAAGTCAAGGAATTTATCAAATCAATGAAGGAACCCAAGACTGATCCGTGAGGGGCCTAGAAGTACCATAAGGACAACAATCAAAGCTTGGCTTTGTTCCTTTCCTCAGTGGTGTGCACAACTGGAAAAGTAACTTAACTCCCTCAGAGGGAAAGGACATTTTAGGGGAAATGTCACACTGCACAATAAGCAAATCAGTGGAGTTTGCAGATGGATATGGATGAGGGGGGAAATATGCGGACACCTATGATCACCTGTCACTGAGCTCAAAAGGATTGCATTATTCCCCTGTGGCCTCAGGAAGAGTGAATGAAACCTTCCATAGGTAATAACTTGTTCCAACAGAGAAGTATGAGACAGGTGATATCTCAGTGGTCGGGCAGAAAGCTGGCCATAATCTGAAGCTGGGCGGAGATGTTAGTTCTTTATCTCAGCATGAAACAACTCACCCAGCCAGATGACCTCAAGATACCTTTGGGCACAGGCAGAAATGGGATTCAGCTCTCTGAAGCTCATCCAGGAGGCCTGGGATTGGGCAGCTGCTCCTGCTGGGCTGGGAACCCCATCCTACCACCCTTGCCACAGCGCACATTCTCTGGGGTTTTCCGACTTTATATTAGAGCAAGATGAAGCAAGCAATAAACTGTATTTATAAAGACAAAACTATACTCAAACAAAGTAATTTTAAAAACAAAAAAGAAAGAGCAAGGCTGTTGCTAATTCATAGGACACCTTTGTAAGAACTGCTAAGCTACATCCTTTCCTCTGAGCAGATGTACCTCTCTCAGGAGCTCATGGCTTGGTGACCAGGACATGGGCTGTTCGCAAGCCCTCACTTGCCTTTCAGTAGCCTCAACTGTGTGTGAAGACCCAAGAGTAAAGGCTTCCTGCTCTGATGTGACCTCCTTAAAGACTTTGGATTTATGTAGTAAAATATATGAGAATAATATATTTTCCATTTGTGAAAATGTACGTGCTTTCACCTTCTAAAGTTACCTTGGGCACTAGACAACATCTGGGAGGTGAATTTCCCTGGAGATGGTCGACTTGAAGAAGATGGTGCTGGCAGGGGGAGATTTGGGACATTGTTAGAAAATCAATAAAATATGTGAATCCCTGAGATCTACTTACTCTTTAATTACAGTCAAACATAGCGATCTTTATTGGATCTCTCTCTCTCTCTCTCTCTCTCTCTCTCTCTCTCTCTCTCTCTCTCTGTCCTGAGACATAATCTCACTATGTAGTTCAGATTGGCTTTGAACTCACTATTTAGCCCAAGCTATCCTGGCTTCAAACTCACAGTGATCCTCCTGCCTCAGCCTCCCGAATGCTGGGATTACAGGCATGTCCCATCGCTTCGAGCTTATTGGACATCTAAGCTTAGTTGATATGTAGCTGCAGTTAGTTCTGCTAGCGTGTGTCCTTATCTTCTCCTGCGTGTCTCACAGACTTGGGAGGGACTAAACCAAAGTTGAGTATGGAAGTGATCAGCATCACACTTCCACAGGGACACACTGTATGTGACAGTGCAAACAGAAGTCCCTGAAGTCTGTTTTGAGCCCGGTATTACAGGACCTTGCTAGGCAGGCAGTTGGAGCTCAGGCCTCTTGGGAGTGCTACCTCTGAGTCCCAAGTTCCCTGGTCTGGTGATGTTTCTAGCTCTACCCCTTCCATCGGGGATATGAGAAGCAGAGCAGCCCATTCGGCATCAGAAGCTCTGGGCAATCAGGAAAAGAATCTGGCTTTCTTAAGGTGCATTCCTTGGTGACATGCCACCCTCCATACGAAGAGAACACACACACACACACACACACACACACACACACACACACAATCCCCAGGGTTCTTCCAGGTCCCTCAATCTTTGTGACTCCCAAGGGATCCAGGGAAGATCAGGGGTCTGTCGCCCCTGTACTCAGTGCCTCAAAGGATACGAGTGAGATGCGTGACAGCATAGTTCTAGGCCTTGCTAGAGCCAAAGCCTAGTTTCAAGAAGGCGGTGCTGGAGCTTAATCTATGTCAGATGTTCTGCTGGATCCAGGAGCTCTCCCCTTTATTTTCAAAGCTATCGCATGGACAAGACTGGACTAATTCTGCGTCCTCTTTCCCCTTCTTGGGCTCTGTCCGTGCACGTGCAAAAGGCTCCAGCGTACACGCCAGCTCCTTGCCCTTTTCCCTGTTGCACTTCTACCGCCTTGAAGTCTTAGAGTTGACTCACACCGGGACTCATTTCTCTGAAGTTTAAGGCAGACGTGGCGCTTTCCAGTAAGCTTATGTAACATATGAGAGAAGTCTGTACTGGGGAATTGTCTGGTATGATTTCTTCCCAATAGATATTTGTAAGGCCAGAAGAGAGCAAATGCAGCATTGCAGCCCAGAGCCTGCTGCCTAAGATGCAAGCAATAAACACTCTTGTCATTGTGTTGACCAACTTCCTTAAGCTCTGTTCAGAAAAGCAAGAAACAGGAAACTGAAGCAGCCAGAGACTACTGAGAGGAACAGGACAAGAAGTGCTACAACAGCTGCTGGCTGGGCTCCACAGGCTGGGAGCAGGAAGATGTATGTGCATTGACATCATGTAAACTTCCACATTCCACCACTTCCTGTGCAGATACCAATAGCAGTAGGAGAAGCAGCAATAGCAGCAGCAGCAGCAGCAGCTACAACAATAACAACAGCAACAGCAGCAGCAGCAGCAGCAGCAGCAATAACAACAGCAACAGCAGCGGCAGCAGCCGCAGTGTGCACGTCACGTGCTGGCTGAGGAGTGGAGAGAACACTCCCACAATGAAAACAGGACACCTTTACAAGAATCATGTGGAATCCTTCATCCTGCCTGAGGAGGCTGGGAAGAAGGAGGCCTGCAGAAGAGGGCTGCAGCTACAACAGCCCAGGATGCAGTTGGCCAGCAGGAGAAAGAGCGGGAGCTGCAGGGCTTGTGGCGCAGAAGGTTGTCCAGGGTATATATATATCCAGATAAAGAATGAACAGAATTATGTACACTATGCATATTCTATTTTCTCTGATCCTGGATGACTGTCTTATAATTAGAGAACAATCAACTTGGAAGACACTTTGAGTGTATGTGATCCAAACCATTTATTTAATGGACAGAGAAATTGAGGCCCAAAGACATAAACTGAATAGCTAGTGTTCCCAATGCAATAAGAAAGAAGATTAAAGGAGGTAATTTTCAAGGGATCCTCTAGCTCACATTTCAGGGACTCTTATGATTCTTCGCTTCTTTCCAAGGGTTCTTTCCCAAACATTTCAGTCGTAGTGCAAAATTCTCAGTTGCTGAGTACTGTCAGAATTTAAAGCTGACATCTAGGGCCAGTGAGCTTGCTCAGCAGACTAAGCATCTTCTTAGGTAAACGCAGGGACTGGGATTCAAATCTTGGCACAACATGCTGTGCCAGCCCCACCCCGGGCATGCTGAGCCGGCCACCAAGACCAGGCGTGGTGGCACATGCCTGTAAACCCACTGTTCGGGAGGCTAAAAACAGGAGGGTCACTGTGAGTCTGAGCTGCATAGTGAGACCCTGTATCAAATACATTAAAAAAAAAAATCTGGCGTCTGTTCATGATTATAACCAAGACCTAAGAAAATGCCATTATTTCACCTGATTTCTATTACCACCTGATTTCCATTACTGCTTTAAAACAGTGGCTCTCAGTCTGTGCTCACACAGTGGAATCATCTTGGAACTTAAACAAAATTCTGATGCTTAGTTTCTACCCGATATGAATTGAATCAAAATCTTTTCAAGTGGGCCCTAAGAATTGAGATTTTAAAAAATTTTCATTGATAATAATATATAACCAAGATTGTTAAACACTGTTCTAAAACTATTAAGTTTGGCTCGAGTCATGACTAATGATTATATTAATCTACTTGCTTCTCTCCAATTAACACAACTTAATTTTCTGTCACCCCTTCATGATGGTTAATCACATGCTCATTCTTTTCAGATAAAACATGCCTGACAGATAAAGAGTGGATTCTTTATATAACCATTTTGCAGATGGTGAAAACTCACCCAAAAAAATAATAGTAACTTAATCTTGAGCCAATCCAAGGATTTTGAGATCCCTTGACTTACTTGAGAAGTTGACTTTCCCCCTAGGCAAAGAATGTCTGATTAAAACCACCTCCCTTTGAGACTCATGTAAAATCAAGAAATCCCTCCTAGTTGACCTTATGATATTAACCATAAATGTGGTTTTACTGGAAGACATCCACGAGGCTTCCTCAACTAGTAATACTACCTTTATCTGATTCCTAGTAGAGAGCCATGTGACGAAGAAATGTGTGCCTGGATAGATGAGATATTTTACAGCTAAGGGAACAGGTCAAGGCTGTAGACCTGACCAAGGCATACTGCAGTGTGCGACTTGAGCGCCTGAGACCGGGTGAGGAGTCAGTGATAGGAGAAAGGGGAAGTCAGCCCGCAGGATGGAGAAGCCAGGTTGCCCCCAAGCATACCAGAGAGCTGGTTGAAGCTAGCACTTTGACTTCCCTTCTGCCCTCCGTTCTCCTCTTTATTTATGACTTCTCAGTCTTGCCACAGCTCACCAAGCTAAACACATCCTGGCATCTTTGACACCAGAGCCAAATAATAATAATAATAATAATAATAATAATAATAATAATAGCTACTATTAAGAGCAGCAAGTATTGTTTGTTCTCCACCAAGATCTATGCTGGGCATTTTGCATAGCATTCCCTTTAGCTCTTGAAACAACCTTTTTGTTCTTTTTTTTTTTTTAATGCAACCAAACTTATTTTGCTGAAGTTTTAATGCAGCAGAGCTAAGAACTGAAGTGAGCCTGTGTGATCTGTGTGTTGCTCTACTTCCCATGCTTTCCTTTCATACAGAGGAGAGGAGTAACATCTAAACTGTATTGGTATTATGGTTTGTGTCTAGGTGTCCCCCCAAAGCCTCAAGCAGTCCTGGGACAGCTTCTGGAGTTGGTGATTGATTACTGTGGGTGGGGTGCTACACCTACCCTGGGGCAGGTCATTTGCAGCACAGTGTGAGGAGGGAAGAGAGGCTAGCTAGCTGCCTGGGCTGCTGCCACTCCTTTTTGCTCTCTTGCTGTTTGCCCTTGCCATGAAAGGTTGCTCTGTGCCATGTGCCATGAAGCCTTGGAGCCAGCTGAGTATGGACTGAAACCTCCATTAACTGTGAGCTAAATAAGCCTTTTCTTCCTTCATTTTAGGTGTTGGGTATTTGTTCCAGCAATGAGTGAAAAGTAACTGAGACAGGAAAGAAGAAATAAGATAAAATGTCCACAAGCTACTATTGGGATTTTTTTCTTTTTTTTTTTTTTTTTTTTTGAGACGAAGTCTCACTATGTAATCCAGGCTGACTTTGAACTCACTATATACCTTGGCTGGCCTGGAATGCTCAGTGATTTTCCTGTCTCAGCCTTCTGAGTACTGGGGCTACAGATGTGTTCTACCACTCCTTGAGCATACTACTTAGATCTTGAGCATCCCCCAAAAGCTCATGTGTTGAAAGCCTCATCTCCAGTCTGTGGCACTACTGGGAGGTGATGGCACCTTAAACAAGTGGAGTCTAGTACAAGGAGTCAGGTCACTAGGGGGATGCCCTTGCAGGGAATATTTGAACCTTGACCCCCCCCCTTTTCTCTAGTTTTGCTTCTCAGCTGCCACGAGGTGAGCAGTTTCCTCCACCATATATTCCATTATAATGAACAGTCTTACCACAGGCCCAAAGCAACATGGCCAAATAACCACAGACTGAGACACCCAAAACTGCAAGCCAAAAACATCCCTCTTTATAAGCTGATGATCTCAGAAATTTTTTTATAGTACAAAAAATCTAAGATACCAGCATATTTTCTTTTTAGAGAAGCCTGACAGGAGTTTAGGAAAGAACTCCTACTGGTGTCTTCTCTGATCCAACGTCAAGATGGAGACGCTTCTCCAGGTAAAAGCCTTCTCCATTACCTTGAGTCACACCCACCTGCCTGCCTTGGGTGGCTACAAGGCTGAGTGTCACATGGGCACTCTTCATCTCATGCTTCAGCACCACCCGCAAAAGGCTGCTTGGGAATATTCACCAATTAGGGTCTCCTCGAAGTCTCTGGTTTCATGAAGGTAAGGACCTCCATGTCAAA